CAAAAAAAAGTACATCCCTGTCACCCCTGCCGATCCGTCCCAGATTTTAAACGGTCGTCTGGTCTAAAAACGGCCACACCAACCATCAAAAATAATAAACACAATTTGTCCATCAAGAGCGTAAACTGGCCTTTAGATCGTGCAATTTATGTCCCAGTTAACCAATGATAACATAACTTTAAATGAATACTCGAAACATCAAAACTCAACAGGGCGATTGCGAACACTTGTAGATTCTCTCAGTTTACATGGAACTAAGTTTTGATGGTTTACGTGTCCTTTGAATGAGTAAACACTATACACGATGTCTCGCAGCACCGCAGCAGATTTTCTTTCCTATTTAAATGTTAATAACGTTTTGTTACTCACACAATTACTATTCCGATATTTTATGTAAAAATATGGTTTACAGATAGTAAGTAATTCAGTGGAAAAAGTGTTTCATGTTACTGAATCACTCTATTGCGGCTTTATTCTTATGATTATTTTTTTTAATTTAAGTTTTTACGTTTTTAACTATGAAAAATTCAAATATTGGTGTACATGACTATAATAATATATACGAGGATAGGGTTATAAATCTTACGATTGGCGTAAAAAAAATTGAAAATTTCCGAATGTGAATTTAATAAAAAATAACGTAGATACCTAACAAATACAGGATATTTTATAAAGACCTAACTAACTTACTAGGGCTAATAATACGTCAAAAAATATTGTCAATTTACTTAATAAATACAGGGTATAATAAAAAGGTAGGTAATAAATGGAACCACATATTCTGTGGTCAAAAATAACTCGATTAAACATAACTTACCTCAATGCAAATGTGCATACAAAAAAAGTTACATCCTTTGGAAAGTATAAAATGAAAATCGATTTTTTCCAATATTTCATGACTGTTTAACATTTTGTAATGAAAATGGATAGGACATGGCTTTATTATCGTAAGAGCATCCTTTTGAAGTTGGCTGTTTACACTTGTAGTTTCTACGGCTAAATAACAAACAAGTGCTTAAACTGTTAAAGCTTTCGATTATTGTGCATTTTAAGAGTTAAATTAAACTTACAATGATTTACACGTTTGCAGCAATGGCAGATATGCATTTAATTCTGGGTAAGTTTGGTTAGGCTAAAACAAGGTTTCAGAGAATTATCGATAATATTTTGATTTTTTTTTACGAATAATATAGTTCAAAATAATACTACATTTCAAAATTTAATAGGAACTAGCCACACAACATTGCCAGTTGGATGGTATACGAAAAGTAATATACGTTCATTTGTATGCACTGTCTTACTTTTAGACTTCTAAAATATGGTTAAACAAATATCTTTTAAATATAAAATATCAAATGATTTTAAAAGTATTTTTTTTTATTTAAACTTTCACTATATTTGTAGTTTCAGGTCTATCCGATGGCCCAGGGAATTTACGGGTTATTAATAATAATAATAATAGTAATAATAATTTAATACAAACATCTGAAAAATTTCCTCTCTATGAATTACCTTTCAAAATTAAAACATCTAAACCTAAAGTTTTATACCCCTCTTATACCAATGTTAACGTCTTAAATAACTCAATTTTGTGATCTGTACTAGATCACATAAACACTTCATTTGCTTTCTATTTTCCCAACCTTTCCTATACAGTCTGTTCTCTATACTTACGCGGGTTTCGGATTAACAAAATTATGCAAATTAGTCATTGCCAACCAGTTCCAATAAGCTTCTTTCCAAGAAATTAGGTAAAATTGCCCTAATGGTCAGATTTAAATTAAAATAACATTAAGGTAGGTACTAAATTTGTTACAAATACTGCAGTTGAATTGATACTTTGCAAGTGTTCACATTGTATGTATATTGTAAATTTAGTGGAAATTTTAAAAATGCCTAGACGTGTGTTAGATGTAGATAGTCTAATTTGTAGTGTACATAAGAATTTTACGAATGAAAAAGAAAATAGCGGTGCTTTAAAGTCGGTAATGTCTGTACAATGTACAACAACGCGTATGCGATACACTAGGAATTAGTAAAACCAAATTAAGAGGAGTATTACAAAATCACCATAGTGAACTGCTGAAAGAATATCACCGCAAAACTCGCCCATCATTGAAAACGAAAGATATTCCAGATGGCAAGAAATTTGAAATTCGTGATACCATTTATCGAATAAGGGCCAACAAGGAACATGTGACCTTAAATACAATTCTCTTGCAATAGATAGAAAATTTGACGACATTGGCAGAACAAGTCTATGGCAAGTGATACATAACTTTAGTTTCAAATTTCAAAAGAAGGATAACAGAAAGGCCCTTTGTGAAAGAAGTCCTGTCGTGCACAAGAAAATTAACTTTCTAAGAAAATATTCTAAATTTAAAAGGAGGTCCTTTCGCCACACCTCTCGCCTCAAATGTTAAAAAAAATATTAGATTATGACTAAAATTATTTTTTTTCTAATAGTTGAAGTCCTTATTTATCTAATATTGAACTTTTAACTATACCTTACCTTGCAAATTTTTGAGAGTTTTTTTTTAAATGTATTTGTACAGTGCCTCACGAGAAAGTAAGTCCTCAACAACAATTCTCGAATTATACTATTATTTATTGATTAGATGGAGTAGAAAAAAACTAAAAATAAGGTTTTTGAAATATTTGGATTTTGTTTTATACAATAAAATATATATAGTAAACTGTGGAACTTATTGAGAAATTAATATTAAAAAATCACAAAAAATTTTCAAGTAACCCAGTTGAAAATTTTTTGTGATTTTTTAATATTAATTTCTCAATAAATTCCACGGTAACCTATATATTTTATTGTAAAAAACAGAACCTAAATATTTCAAAAACCTTATTTTTAGTTTTTTTCTACTCCATCTAATCAATAAATAATAGTAAAATTAATTATAATTCGAAAATTGTTGTTGAAGTCTTATGCCCAATTTCACCAACCCATTCTTAAAGTTAAGAAATACTTAAACCAGATTTACGAATTCCTAAGTGCAATTTACGTTTCACCATGCGCTAAGAAATACCTAACATTAGGACAGCTTTCTACCCCTGCCTAAGGCATTTAGGAAATACTTAACCTCAAAAATTTAGTTTGTTTTCAACATTAGTATTGTTGACAGGTTATAGAATTTTGTTAAGAGTAGTTTGTTTTTATTTAAAAAATATGAGAGCTGTACGTTTTATAGAACATCTTGATAAGTTCGATTCTTCATCAGAGTCTGAAAATGAAGAACATCGAGAACGTGTAATTCGTCCGCGTATAAATTATTTTGAGACTTTGGACGAAACTGATTTCTTTCGGCGCTTTCGACTACATAAAAATACGTCGTTACAAATATTAGAGAGAATTGAAAATGTTCTAGAATTTGAAAGTGATAGGTAAGTTACTACATCATTTAAGATAAGACTTTTTTTTATTAAATTTAGATTTTTTATTTAAATTTAGATTTTTATTATTTTTTCAGAAATGAGTCGGTGTCCTCTATAAACTAGTTACTTTTAACACTGCGGTTTTATGCTACAGGAAGTTTTTTAATGCATGTTGGAGACTTAGCAGGTATTAGCGCAAGTACATGTTGCCGAATAGTTAAAGAGGTAACTGCAGCTATAAGTAATCTAAAAGACTATTACATAAAATTTCCTACAACAAATGAGGAGCAGCTAAGAGCTAAAAAGGAATTTTTCCAAATTGCAGGCTTCCCAAGTATTATAGGGACAATCGATTGCACACATGTTAAAATACAAAGTCCTGGTAAGTTGTATATAGGTTTGTTTAAGCTTTTTTTAGTTGTTTTCTATTTTCCTTTTATTATTTATATCATGCCTGTTTGTACATTTTTTTTATACTTTAAACATAATAGGTATACCTATATTAATATATTTATTTTTTTAAATATTCTAATAACTGAGAAACAATATTGGTATTTTTATATTTAAATATAAATAACATTTATTTATATTTAATATTTTCTAGGAGGAGAAGATGCCGAAATATTTAGAAATAGAAAAGGCTACTTTTCTATAAATGTGCAAACTGTTTCTTCAGCCGATTTAGAAGTAATAAATATAGTATCAAGATGGCCAGGATCAACACATAATGCTACTATTTTTCAGAATAGCAGGCTAAATTTACAGTTTGAGCAAGGATTATTTGATAATTGTATACTATTAGGAGATAATGGATATCCTTTGAAGGTAAAATAATAAACTTGGTAAATAAAAATTTGTATTTACCCACTTAGTCTCAAAAACTTATCCATCCTATTTTTAACAACCTAAATTTTCAACTTTAGGCACCAAGTATTGAACTTTAGAACAATGATAAAATATTACCCCATATTTATATAATATGTTATTATAATATATGTTTTAATTTTTAGAATTATTTATTAACACCGTACTTAAATCCACGTGAATTGCCACAAATAAATTACAATCGTGCCCATATTACATCAAGAAATACAGTGGAACGACAATATGGAGTAATGAAAAGAAGATTTCCAGTATTGGCTTTAGGATTAAGATTAAAGTTAGAAAATGCAATAAATGTAATAATAGCTTGTGCCGTTCTTCACAACATTTGCATTGAACAAAATGAAGCTCTGCCTCCAGATGAAATTGAAAATGTAGAAAATTTAATTGAAGAGGGGCAAATTAATATAAGAAATGAAAATAATGATCGACATTTTTCAACTCGTGAATTAATTGTAAATCGTTTTTTAATGATTAATTTTAAGTGCAAGTTGGATAGTTAAATGTGTTTCATTTTGTGTAACTATAAATATTATGAAACCAATAAAATTTATATTTTTTAAATATTTCATTTAATATATAAACAGATGAAATATAATTTGTCGAATTTCTTTAATAAATATGAAAAAATTGTTTATAAAAAACTATACGAAATATATTATTTCTAATTTGAATTTAATTAAAAATATATTTAAAAAAAAAAAATATCAAAAAAAATTATAAAAAAATACTTATAAAAAATACTTATATAAAAATAATTCAAAATAAAAATATTTCCAATTCTTGAAAATGGATTCAATTAAAGCTGGGTCAACATCTTCTTTGCCTACAAATAAAAAATACCATTTTAATACAACAAATATTAATATGAACTCTAAATCCTTACTTTCTAATTTTTGAAGAATAATATTTCTTATTTTCACAATTTGTTCTCCTTTTCTTTTTTCTATTTCCAATAGCTCTCTTTCTTCTTGACGCTTTTCTATGCCATGATTAATTTCTTGTTTCAATGCATTCTGTTTTAATTTTTTACTCTCAATTTTCTGATGTATTAATTGGTCTTTCGGTGTTTTAACATAGATCGGTCTTCTCCTTGAAGAAGGAGTAGGCATTATATCAGTTCTACTTTCAACTGAAACTGGAGGTATTTGCTTGACGACAAATTCAGCTGTTTCTCCTGTCTCTTCAAACACCTGAGGAATTGGTAACTTTTCCTTTGCCTCATTTTCTTTATTTTCCACTTCTATCGGTGCAAATATTTCTGTCATATTTTGATCCATTTCTATAACTAAACAAAAATGAGATGAGATTTAAAGGAAAAAGGTTTTTTTTTATATTCTGTTTACCTATATTAGAATCCGGCTCAAAGTCGCAATCAGGTATATTTGCTATTCCTACACCTGCCCTTCCAATTAAAAACAAAACCTCCTCCAAAATATTATTTTCTTTATGGGTACTTGGCCCACCTCCTGTACCCATTACACTTATTTTTATTTTGCTCTTAAATGTCTTGGCCTCGTATTTTAATTTATTCCATATTTTTTTCAAACTAGTTACATTCCTAAAATATTAAAAATATTAACCTTTCTAATTTAATAACCCATGAAAATAATGTTACCTCTTAAATTGATTATTGGAATTAAAATTCTGCTCCAATTTCATCCAAGCAATATCCTTTTTTTTGTTGAAAACAAAATCAGTCTTTTTGCACAAAATGTCATTATATTTTTGCAATAATGCAAGCAATTTAATTTTTTCTTCCTCCGTCAAATTGGCACTCCTATTCCTTTTATCTTCCATTTCTCACAAAAAGTTCTAAACCACACTCTACTATAAAAATTACTAAAATTCAGACACAGACACAAACACTTTGAAACTATACACGTGAGAAATAAATTTATTTAAAATTTGTGGTTATGTCATCTTCTTTTTACTCTTCTCTTTCTAGTATGATCAATAACCATTCGGTTTGCACGTTAAAATTATCCAGTAATGCCAACTATACGTGTAACACTAACCAAATCCAATTTTTATCTGGGTATTTCTTAACAAAGAATTTCTTAGGTTGGTGAAATTCGATTTAGGTAAGTATCGGATTTAAGAATTTCTTAGCTTAGGAATTACTTAGGTAGGTATTACCTAGAAACAGGTTGGTGAAATCGGGCATTACTTTCTCATAAGAAACTGTACAAACACACACATTTTTAAAAAAAAATTCTCAAAAATTTGCAAGGTAAGGTATAGTTAAAAGTTCACTATTAGATAAATAAGGACATCTACTATTAGAAAAAAATTAATTTTAGTCATAATCTAATATTTTTTATTTAACATTGGTGGCAAAAGGACCTCCTTAAAGAAGAAGGGGCGAATTTTATATATTTAGACGAAACATGGATATTTTCTAGGGGTTCAACCAAGAGAATATGGCAAGATGATAACGTAAAGTCCATCAAACATACCAATGGAGAAGGGAAGCGACACATAATTTTACATGCAGGAGGGAAATCGGGTTTTATAGAAGGTGCTGATTTAATATTTTCATCTAAATCAAAATCCAGTGACTATCACGATAATATGAACAAAGAAATGTTTATTTTTATATTATTTATTGTTTCGGCCTTTACTTGATGAACATCCATTTAATCTTGAAAGAGTAAAACCAAATTTGGTAGATTTTCACACTTTTATTTTAAAAATATAAACATTTTTAAAAACACTAACATGACATATGTTTCGAAGTACAACTTCTTTTTCAAATGTGACTATTTACAATTCGGTATCCAATATATATACGAAATAATTTAACAAAACAAAGTACTTATGAAAAACATCAATAACATTAACTATTTAAAGTAAATAAGGGTACTTAGGTATTTATAATATCAATCAGATAACAATAAGATAGCACATTACCGGGATTATCTCACAGAAAACTAGGAAAGAGATTTAATAAAGGTGAATTATTAATATCTAATTGATCATTTAGTAAGTTATCTGAATTTTTAAATCTATTTATTTCAAGTGTTTCCAAATGGTTTAATTTAAGGCTCTTATTTTCTATATGTAAAATTTCAAAGTTGTCTGTAAAAGAATGATTTTCAGCTAAAATATGATTTGAGTAAGTAGAATTATTTTTGTTTTTTGTATAGCTATTATAATGTTCGGAATAGTGTTTTTTGAAAGTACGGCCTGTTTGACCAATATACAATGTTGGACAACTACCACAATTTAATTTATATACCCCCGATTTATTATTAGGATTAATTTTACCCTTATTGTTTTTAATATACTTCCCAAGCGTATTATTGGTTTTAAAAGCTACGTTAATATTTTGGTTTTTTAAATATGATGATACCTTTTCACTAGGAGCTCCTATATATGTAAGACTTTATATCTGCAAATTTGATCTTTAATTATGGGATAAACTTGTTGAATAGCCTGTTTAAAAAGTTTTTTCTCTAAAATGTTGTCTACTAACTTTTAATTAAAATTATTATTTACTGCGATTTTTTTAATGATATTTAATTCTTTTGTGAAGTTCTCTTTGGTAAGGGGAATATTAACTAATCTATGGATCATACTGTTGTATGCTGCCAGCTTTTGTTTGTATAAATGAGATGAACTATTATTTATTGTAATATCAGTATGTGATGGCTTATGAAATATCCCAAAACTATGGCCTTTATTATTTTTAATAATATTTAAGTCTAAAAAATTAATTGAATTATCCTTCTCTGTTTCCATAGTACATTTAATATTAGGGTGTATAGTATTGATAAAAAGTAATAAAGAATTTAACTGTCTACTAGTACCAGTAAAAGATATAAGAGTCTTACATATATAGGAGCTCCTAGTGAAAAGGTATAATCTTATTTAAAAAACCAAAATATTAACGTAGCTTTTAAAACCAATAATACGCTTGGGAAGTATATTAAAAACAATAAGGGTAAAATTAATCCTAATAATAAATCAGGGGTATATAAATTAAATTGTGGTAGTTGTCCAAAATTGTATATTGGTCAAACAGGCCGTACTTTCAAAAAACGCTATTCCGAACATTATAATAGCTATACAAAAAACAAAAATAATTCTACTTACTCAAATCATATTTTAGCTGAAAATCATTCTTTTACAGACAACTTTGAAATTTTACATATAGAAAATAAGAGCCTTAAATTAAACCATTTAGAAACACTTGAAATAAATAGATTTACAAATTCAGATAACTTACTAAATGATCAATTAGATATTAATAATTCACCTTTATTAAATCTCTTTCCTAGTTTTCTGTGAGATAATCCCGGTAATGTGCTATCTTATTGTTATCTGATTGATATTATAAATACCTAAGTACCCTTATTTACTTTAAATAGTTAGTTTATTTTGTAATGTTATTGATGTTTTTCTTAAGTACTTTGTTTTGTTAAATTATTTCGTAAATATATTGGATACCGAATTGTAAATAGTCACATTTGAAAAAGAAGTTGTACTTCGAAACATATGTCATATTAGTGTTTTTAAAAATTTTTATATTTTTAAAATAAAAGTGTGAAAATCTACCAAATTTGGTTTTACTCTTTCAAAAAAGAAATGTTTGTAAAATGGTTGCATGAAAAACTTCTCCCAGGTTTAAGTGAGCCCAGCGTAATTATTTTAGACAATGCACCTTACCATTCTGAAGTATTAAACAAAAGTTCAACGAATTCTTGGACTGTTGATAAAATGAAAGAATGGTTGACAAAGGAACATATACCATTTCCTCAATATATATTAAAATCAGAATTATTACGCTTGGCAAATATACACGCAAAACCAAAAACCTTTGTTGTGCATCAGATTATTGAAAGTTACGGTCATCAAGTTTTACGTCTGCCACCGAATCATTGCCAGTTTAATCCCATCGAATATACATGGGGAATATTAAAACAATATTATGACAACCATATTGGGCCTAATGGTTATAGTGACGACGCAGTTCGAGAAACTTGGCGAAAAGTATTTTCAATTGCAGAACTCCAGAAGTGTGGCGGAACTGTATATCCAAGTGCGAGAAACTAATAGAAGATTGGTGGACTCGTGAAAATAAAATAAACGAAATAAGTCTAATCATAATAACAATTAATGGTGATGACAGTGATGATGATGTCGATTATGATATTTTGGATGATAATGTCTAATTTTCATTTTTGTTGGCAAGTTCAATTTTTTTATTTTTCATTAGAAATTTTCTACATGGAACAAATTTTTATGTTTATTTTGGCTAGAGGTAATCATTTCCAGCATTTATTATGAATCGTATTACATTTTACATGTTTACTGTTTTCCACTCAACTTATTAAAAAAAATTATAAATTATGGTGTTTATTTTTTTCTCTGTAGCTATTGGTTTTTTTTTTTAAACAAAACAAGGATTTTAAGTTATAATTTTATTTCATAAAACTTCATCTCGAAAAAAAGTTGTGATATGAAATAAAGTAAAGGTTGCTAATTTCACCCCCCTATAATGTAACAGAAATATTGAAAAAATACTCGTGTTTATTCCTTTGCGAGTGCACGAAAATTTCAAAATTTCAAGTTTCTAGTTTTACTGAAATTTTAGAAAATAAAATAAAAACTCAATTTTAGTCACCACCTTTTAAGGCTGATATCTCGGAAAGGGGTGGGTTGAGGAAATTTTGTTATAGAAAACACCCATCTTAATTTCATACGAGCAATCACCTCCTGAATTTTGTCGCATGAATTTAGAAACACCCTGTACACTTTGAACCAAAGCTATCAGTGGAGTACAAGGTAATAAAATTGTTGATGAAGCTGCAAAAAAGGCCTGTTTTCTAAATAATGTTGAGAGCTTAGTAATGCCAAAAGATATGAAAAACATTTATAAAATGAATATTTTCTCCAAATGGTGACAAATATGAAGTGCTTATTGTGAAACATCTAGCAATCATTATACATACCGATAATTGGAACAATCTCTTGGGGCTGAGACAGGCCAAGATACTTCTGGGTGAATAAAACCAAAAAAGATCGGAAGCCTGCATCTGCCTGAGCAAGAACAGGCTACGTATTGTAACAGGGATCCTTACCGGGCACTGCCGACTAAAAGGACACCTAAGTAAACTGAGAGTAGTAGAGGATAGTGAGTGCAGATTCTGTGAGGAGGAAAACGAAACCTCCATTCACATCCTAACTGAATGTGTAGCACTCCAGAATCCAAGGGCACTATTGTTACGGCTTTTTGGCACACTCATATATTTTAGTGATCAATTCAATAGAAATACTTTTTTAAAATTCGATATTATTCTTAATTTGCTATGAATTTAGCTTACCTTTTAATTATGTCCAGCTTTCTGTTAATTTTTCTAAGAATTCTTAAAGTGCAGTTTTTTATAAATAATTATTCACCCTATTCATAATTCATATTAATAATCTCTATGTTTCTATAAAAATTAACCCCTTAATTGGGAATTGTTTATTATTTATATTTGACATTTAAGAATTAGGTTAATAATATAATAATTTAAAATGACACCTCAGGTTTACCAAAATAATTAGAATCTGCTAATAAATAGTACCATGGCCTTGACCATGTGTCTGTCCTTTATTAATTAATATCATAATACAGGAAAATATGATTTATTACAATATATAAAACAAAAGAACAATATTATGTTTTGTGGTACTAATGGTAATATGACCTTGACCATGAATCTATCCTTTATTAGCTTAGTCAATAAAGTAGGAAACATATATTTTATTAGAGTGTTTGCAATAAAAGAACAACATTTTAATTAATTTTG